CCGGTGATTGGGACATTGTTGCTCTCCCTTCTCCTTCTGAGATGACACTACGTAACTGTAGTTTCCCTCTCTTTTAGGAAGAGGAAGGCTCTTGTGGAAAGCATGACCTAGGAAAAGATGGCATGTTGAATTTTTATTATTGTTCTAATGAACCTTAAATGCTTCACATTTCATTTATTTTCATTTAATTTCTAGAACATCCTCCCTCCCTGCACCAAGATTTTTGGGAATAACTTGAGGGGGGAAAGACTTATACTTTTAGTGTTTTTTTTTAGTCTGCTTCCTGTTACTGTGACAAACTAATCGAGTTAATCAACTACAAAAGACAAAAAGATTTACTTTTGCTCATGGTTCCATGATTAATCGATCCTGTTTGGAGCCAACACATCCCACCATGGTGGGAGCACATGGCAGAGGAGACCTAGTCACCTTCTGGTCCTTGTGAAGCAAAGAGAGAAGGAAGGGGCCAAGGTCCAAATATTACCTTCCAAGGCACTCTTCCAATGATCTAACTTCCTCTCCCCAGAGCCCAGCTCTTCAAGGTTGTGTCCCTTGCCCATGGTACCACTGGCTGAAGATCAAGCCTTTAACACACGGGCCTTTGGGGATACTCCAGATCCGAATCCAAATTTATAGTGGTGGTGGAAGAGGAAAGATGGTTAACACACAGCAACCGGTACTCCTCGGGCACACCAGCCAAGGAGAACAGAGCCCAGGTAGAGAAAGCCGACGGCCCAGCTATTCCACCGGGTCCAAGCCAACTTTATCCTTGATTATGCCACGCCTGAAGCTCTGTGGCCTCTCTTGGAAGGGCTTCTCAAGCTGCACCCAGAGCCACATGGAAAACACATGATCTGACCTTGGGATGGCAGTGAGTAAAAACAAAGCCTGTCTTCAGTAAATGATGAATGACCATTCAATGATGCCGGGTGAATGCCTTGCAGGGGTTTCCATGCTCCAATATGGGGAAGATGCACCCTGGTGCACCCAGACCTACAGAAGGCAAGCATCCAAGAGTGGGACGTAGGACATGCCCAGGGCAGTCTATGCCCAGCCTGGCTTCTGAGCCACCAGCATGAAGAGTGAGTGCTCCCTTCTAAAGTTGGCCACCACAGCTGCGGCCTCCATGGGAAGGACAAACAGGCGTCAACCAGGAGGAGGACACAGGGAGGCCACACTACAGCCCCTGCCCCCGGCCAGAGAGCATCCATCCCAGTCACATGTCCACATCACGAGAAGTTATTACTCTGTGACTCAGGGCAGGACACAGAGGCCTCACGTCTCTCTCTCAACTGCTGGCCCTCTGCCTCCTCAGGGGTATGTTTCCCTGAGACTCAGCAATCTGTCAGGAGAAATGGGAGCAAATGGGTGAGAACCGGACATCTTAAAGTACTCCAAAATCCCATTTCCCCCAGGGTTCCCTTGTACGGTGCTGTCAAGTTCTAGATCCTTCCCATTGGAAATGATCAGAATGTTGAATGGACGCTTTCCTGTCCATTGTACCAACCCACGTGCATGGCAGGGACTTGGGAGCTGCCAGAAGTGCCGGGAAGAGCACGCAGCATGATGATCATTGAATTCTACATGTAGTGTTACATGCGGCACCACCAACTTGCTCTGGTTTGCCAGGAATGGTCCAGTTTTAAAACTGAAATCTTGAATCTCTCAAGTCCCCATGGCAGCACACTGGGATGGCTGGTGACCGACCTGGGTTGCCGCATCCCTAGGTGAGCAGTGTAAAAGCCCCTCACGTCTCAGAGCCTCCTTGGGATCAGGCCTGGCACCAGCGATGTCCCCCAGGTCCTGTCATGGAGGAGGAGCTGTGGGATATCTGCTCCTCTTGATTCACTTCTCGTTGCAGCCTCCTCATTGTGGCCCCCCTCTCCTGCAGCCATGTGCAACACAGACAGACAGACAGACGGACGGGCGGATGGACGGACAGACAGACAGACAGACAGATGGACGGGGACACACACACACACACACACACACCCCTTTGGCCAGATGTAGGTGGTCTGGATACCTCCCCAGCATGTCACTAGGTGGCACTGTGTGGCAGTCCATGGTAGGGGTCCGGATAGGGTCAGCTTCTCAATCAGCAGCCGGAAGACCCCCAAAGCTAGAATTTCCCTTCTCACTGCATAGTTCCATGTGTGTGCCGTGAGAAGAGGATGCAGGTACAATACTAAAATGCCAGAAGACATCATTTTAAAATTAAAGGTGTGTTTACATATCACCTGGGCCACCTCTTTAGTTTAAAAGAATTAGTCCCTCCTTACATGACCAGTTCATTATTATTATTTATATCTGTAAAAATAGTTCTTTGGTTTTTTCTCCCTCTCTGGGGTAACTTGTCACTTTAATAAACAACTGTGATTTATCGGTGATTGGACAATTCCCCAGTTACCTTATGGACTAAGATTATCATTGTATGTATTTGTGCAATGAGAAATGGTAGCCTTATAGACTGTAGTTTTTAAGCTAGGCTGTCCATCTTCCCCTTGGCTATGGGGAACAGACATACCACAGGGCCCATCACGAGTGAGATTTGAAGAATCAAACCGTTCCACCTAGGGATTCCAGCCTTTGCCTTGAAGACAGAAAGTGGGAAAAGCAACAGATTAAGTTAGCTGATGAAGCTAAATTGGAATGTGTTGTGATCCTCACTACAGCCAGCTAAAACCCAAAAGACAAAAGGCAGTATGAAAAGCTAGCAGTTAAAGTATGTCCGTGCAGAACTACAGGCTGCAGCTGGAGAAGGAGGACCGAGGCATGATGGAAAGCCCGGAAACAGAGAGTCTGTGAAAAAGTGTCCTTTAGAAAGCAGAAAAGCTCAGGAGCGATTTATGGGGTGAGAGCAGAGGAGTATGCAGTGTGCTATGGTTAAATAAGCAGAGAGACTTCAACCTCGCAACCAGAATGCCTTGCCCCACAGCTAGTGGCATCTGGTGACCAGACCAGCCATTTGTTGGGCACCTACTGTGTGCCAAGTACTTAACATATAGTCATCTCAGCCTCCCAGACTCCACAAGGTGAGCATTGAGCATCCCTACATCCAGCAGGGAGAGTGAAGTTCGGAGTTGTGACATAGCTTCGACTTGTTACCAGAGAACTGGAGAGCAGAAAACTAACTCCAACTCCGTACTCAATCCAAGTCCAAACTCTCCTCTCTCTGCCCCACGTGGTGGGTAAAGACCCAGGACACGAGAAGACAGTTCATGGTCCGCTTTCACCAGGAGCGCTGTGGCTTCGGGTTGGTAGAATGTGTATGATGACTGACAGACAGACTTGAGTTCCAGTTCTGGCCCTACCTCCTACTAGCTGTGTGACGCTGAGACTTTCATTTAACCTCTCTGTGCCAAGAAAAGGTGGGGTTGTCCACAGTAGGATGTTGTGATGATTGTAAACACCACGATCAGCCCTGGGTCTGCCGGATGACTCAGTAAATACACGATGCCAGTGTTAGCTTTGAGGCTCTCCCTGGAAACGGCTGGCAATTGTGCTGTTCTGATTCTGCTCCTGCATTTGAGATAATTGGGATGCTGAATTCCACTCATCAGGACGATCACAGAACTGTCAAAAGCACATGGTCTGTCTACAACAAATGGCCAGGGTTGTGTTTGACAGGCTGCGAGCTGTTTGGGACCCACAAAAACTTTAAGCTCCTTTTTTACCACAACTGGGCCTCCCGGAGCGAAAGAAAATGCAGTCTAGAAAATGACAGGAAAATGGTGGCCCTGACACCCTTCCCCAGGTGGAGAGTAGCTGAGGGAAGTGGAGATGCAGGAGGCCCCGGGGAAGAGGACTTTGGGAGCCGTCTTCAAATGGCTAAAGAGAGGGAGCAGAGGAGAATGAGTGTGATGGTGTCCCTGAACGTGGAACTGGAACAAGACTGTTGTGTGTGTGTGTGTGTGTGTGTGTGTGTGTGTTGTGGAAGGGGCACTGGAGGGGCTAAGGGAGCCCTTGGGGTCCTGGTTGCTTCGCTACAAAATGAGGTGACTCTATACACCTCATATTTTCCAACAACCCTTCAACATCTCAGTACCTGAACATTCAGTTTTATCCCCACACTAATGCGTGGAGTTAGAACAGATATCACAGGCTGAGGGGTTCAGTCCTGTGAGACTCCACTCAGCTGCCAGGCACAAGCCCTGGGTCCCCAAACTACCAACACTTATGCCTGATTTGGCTAAGGGTTCTCACCATCGGACTGCAGTTCATTAGAACGGATCCTAAGACTCAGGGAAGTGCTGCACTTGTGATTACAATTTTGTTATGAAGGACACAACTTGAGAACAGCCAAGTAGACACATACGGGTGAGACGTGAGGGGCACACAGCTTTTATTCTTTGGAAGGTGTCTGAATCGTGCTTGGCAGGGTTGAATCTGGGGTGTCATTTTGGGGGGATGAGATATTGTATTGGTTATATGACAGGACTCAAAGCCAGCAACCTCACTCTCTCCAGTGGTTGGGGAACAGGAAGGAACATGCAAACCTTCTAATCCGGAGGTTTGTTCCTTAGGTAACCTCCTGAGGCTACCTAGTCCCCTAGTCCAGTGGCCATCTCTGCATAGACCCTGGTATAGGAGGAAGGGGCTCCTTAGGGATAACAAAAGCCCCTCTTATCATCCAGGAAATTCCAAGGGTTTTAGGAGCTCTCTGGCAGGAACCCGGGATAAAGAGCAAATTGGCTTTTAGACCACAGACACGTTCTAACAACCCTTCTATCTCTAACATGCTATATTTAGTGGTCCCAAACCTCATTACACAATGTGATTCGTCTCTGAGTAAGAAAATACCTCCTTAGCCAGTGATGTTCAGGAATTTAGGAGGCTGCTGCTAAGGGTCAGAGCTACCTGAGGTAGGAAGTGGTCTAGCTGAAGCTGGATGACCCCAGTCTCAGGGATGCTGATGAGGAAATCTCCACACTGGGATCCGTTTGCCCACTGGTTGCAATTGTCCAGGAACAATATACTATCACTGCCTTTTTTGATTTCAGAATCGAGAGGTGCTTCCATTCTGGATGAACAGCACTGGCAAGAAGGGAGGCTGGCAGCGTGGATGGCATGGATACGACAACGAACTCATGGACATGAGAGGCATCTTCCTGGCCTTCGGACCTGGTAGGCAAGGGGATGACGGCACACTTGTAGGCAGCGTTCCAAGGAAGCAGCTCTAACAGGGACTAAACCACACTCGTACAAAGCTGGAGCAGTTCCTTTATGGACCCTCTTTATGGGCCAAGCTAAGCAAATCCAGCCGCTCTCCATGAAGCATCTTTGGCGGGCTTCCTTGCAGATTCTTTTTTGGTTTGGCAATTGTGGCCAAATACTTTTCCTTGTAAATTTTAAATCCTGAGTTGTAGTGCCGAAAATGTGTTCCACATGTCTATGATTCATTTTTTACTTAATTCATCAAGACGTTATGTTACAGCTATCTGATGTCCAGAAAGGCTTATCAAACGCCAGTTTGCTGACAGCTGTGAGTCTCAAGGTTGACGCTATTGCTTCCTGGACTCTGGTTCTTAAATAGCCCTGCTTTGTCTAGAATATCCACCCCTGTGGGGTCCATTTAGAGCCCAACTATAAACTAGGATGTATTTAAGGGCGGGCTCAGAAATGACCTTGAGATTGACTCTGAGAATGAGCCAGAATGACGAGAGATATTTATAAAAGTAAATTTGCTGGTCTTTCCTTGGTCAGATTATATTCCAAAGGTCTGGACGAAAGGACAGATGAAGAGAGTCTCTTTGGTCATTTGACTTAACTGATAGGGCACTGTGAATCTGCACATTGGAAAATTTTACCAAGTAGTCTACTGAGCACACTGCTAGAAACATAGCATCCAAGAGAGACATCAAGGGGTGAGAGAGAAAAGAGTAGTCACACACTCTGACGGCTCTCAGGCATCAGGTGACCAGTTCACAGCTGTCCTTTCCACTACTGTCGAGTCCTTCATTAAACATTCTCCCCCTGACATCTGTATTCCAAAGGCATATTTCTGCTTCCGCTCAAGAAAGTCCACCTTTTCATTTCCAATCGTATGTTATCTACCTGTGAGCTCTGCTCTTCTCATCTGAGCAGCGAGTGAGACCAGCCACGTCAATTCACTCTTTGTGCTTTGTCTGTCTCAGTTTACCCTACCTACCACAAAAGTCCAGTTAAGAGCCCGAGCTTGGCTGAAAAACAGTAGTGGTGAGCCGCAGTTAACCCCACATAGGATTCTCAAATCCCAAAGTCAGCATCAGAATCAGTGACAGCAAATGTGTAGAGCATTGGCTGAGTTCCTAACACAGGTCCAAGGGGCCATTGGCCAGTGAAAGTTAGGAGAGCTCCCTGTTGGCCAAGCCCAGGCCTTGCAGAGCTTCAATGCAAGAGGAATTAAGAATGGAGCTTTTAGGACTGTGTTGAGGCCTGTTGTAGATCAGAAAGAAGACATTCCAAGGTCAGGGCCTTCATTTGGGAGAACGTCAATCATCAGGATTTTCAGTCAAAAAATATCAACACTTTCTTTCCCAGAAGAGGGAAGAAAGGTCAAGAATGCTGAGCAGTTGTCTATTGGACTGTGTATGAGCAAATCTCATGTGTGTTTTAAACCATAAGCCAATCCAGCCCCTGCATCAAAAGTTCTAAATGAAACACCCAGCACTGCGCTAACGTAGAGTTAAATTCACCAGGGATGTTTTGTCCATTAACAGAAGCCTCTGTCATCAGCTCCTTTCCAACGGAAAGCCCTCGGCATTTTACAGACAGAAAGACAACCCCTGATGAAAATGGACTGGGCTAATTGCAAAATGTTTCCTTGAGAGCCTCTCACAAACCATCACATTATTCCAGGCTCCAATTCTCATGAAAGATTAAACAACTTTACACACCGACTGTTTACTCAGAAGAAAATTTAAGAGCCAGCCCTTTAATAGCTATCTAGCTGCTCTTGCAGATAAAGGTGCATCCTTCCTGCTTCGTTGTGCTTCTCACTTAGGGAGGAGGGCTGGGCATCATTGCGGCTGCCCAGATACCGGCCTTCCAAGCCAGTGAGCCTGGCCAGCAGAGAGAAAGGAAAATAATTCCGAAGATAGCCTCTATATGGTTAATCCCATTTTCTAATGTCAACTGACTACCTAATCTGGTTCTGGAGAACTCTGTATTCAGTAGGAGATGGCAGGGGCAGGAATCATCGAGTGGTCACAAGCCAGCAAACCTCTCTCAGAGCTACAGCCAATGGTGGAAGGTGGCAGTGCACAGCATGAGCCTACAGGGCCTTCTCTTTTCAATAGATGAATTTTAATACCCAAAGCCCGTGTGTAAGCTTGTGGGAATAACTTAGATCCAGATCTAGGTTCAAAATGTCACCTTGAGCTAGTGGGACTTGGTGGAAGCCTTCCAAATCAGACTAGGTATTGTTCATCTCCTGGGGAGTTTTCTAAAAGTTTGCATTCTTTTTACTTGAGCTCAGAATTCCATGCCTTGAGAACAGAAAGTCATGAACTAGATCAGAGAGAGGTCTGTGTCCTCCTTCTGGACAGGCATAGGCATGGGACACAATTTCGTGTTTTCAGTCACACTTCAAATATGAGCATCCTCTCTAGGATGTGTGTCAGAACTTCATCTCCACTGTTTTTTTTTTCTCTCTCTCTCTTTGAAACCCAGATTTTTGAAAGGTCAGAAAAGGACATCTTGTACCACCCCACCGCCAGATGATGATTTGGCCTCGTGATGAGCGGTGTGACTGTCACATCCAGGTCACATGGCAAGTCAGGAGGACAGGGCAAAGTTGCAATCATAACCCTTGGACAGTCTTTCCATTGATCCCTTTGGTTGTGGTGGGTTCATGTGATGGTACTGTGTCACCACCACCCTCATCCAATTTCATAATTTGCCTTGACATTGAGAGACCCCTCCTTTGTAATTTCCCACGTAGCCATGTTCTCATTTTTTTAAAACTAGTTTTTTTTATACTTTAAAGCAATTCCAGACCCTTGTTCTCCTTCCCTCATATAAAAATGAGCCCTCTAAGCCATTTATAAGGTGAATATTTTCAACCCTAATTTTTCTTGATGCCATTTATTAATAATAATGGTTGTTGTGTCTGGCATTATGATTTAAGTGCCATTTCCCACGCCCTGTAGAGTGCTGGTGCCTCCTCACACGGAATTCAACTTTTATTCTCCAAAGTTGAACTCAGTGAAAACCCATTTCTTGAAAAGCTGCTCTAGATTTCATACACTGGGTGCCAGGGGCATCTGTCTCTAACTTTCTTCCATAATTACAATTCCAGGGAGAGAATGGGTATCAGTACTGTGCTTCCAGAAGATACTTTCTCATGTTTTGCTTGCATCTTTTAAAATTAAGTATATCTGATCACTTTAGCAGAACACGTGAACTGATGGTTTTCTGAGATGGAGAGCCTGACTTGCCAACTCTCAAGCTCCCTGTCCCTTCTTTAAACCTCTAAGATGGACATTAAAAGCACAGGCCTCTGTTGATGGATCAAAACTCAACTCTGAACTCAGCCTTAATATAGCTTGGGATATTTTGCTAGATATTTTCTTTGGGGCCTAAAAGCAAAAATTGCTTGTTCATGTTGTATTCAGATTGTCACTGTCTAAAGCAGTGTTTTTCAACCTATGGGTCATGACACCTTTGGAGGTCACCTGAGACCATAGGAAAACACAGATATTTACATTATGATTCATAACAGTAGCAAAATTACAGTTATGAAGTAGCCAAAAAAATAATTTTATGGTTGGGGGTCACCACAACATGAGGGACTGTATTAAAGGGTCACAGCATTAGGAAGGTTGAGAACCACGGGTCTAAAGGAAAAGGGGTCCATATTCATTTTCTGTCCCACAGGGAAGTAACAGGCATACTGGTCCAATTGATTAGAGAGCCAGCTGGAGAAAGGACTGTGCATGACCAGCCTCTGATTTACACACCTGTGTCTAATGCCCTCAACCGGCACAGGATCTGGGTAGAGGCACAATGTCATGACCCCCATAGGTCACTTGAGGTCTTCCCTGGAATCTCAACTCTGATACCAATTTGCTCATTTTCCCTATAGCTAAATTATTTCATCTGTTCCCAAAAGGCTCCCAAGCAACGTTCAGTTAATTCTCTAAATATATTGAGAACAACGTTGCCATTGCTGGTGAGTTATCAGTCGCCAGGAGACTATACAGCTTCATGGGCCATATAGAACTGTGACTTTGGTATGGCTGAGAGAGAGAGACATTCTCAAGTTGTGGTGGCTGCTCTGGAAAGCACCCTAGGTATTACCCCTAGCTCGCTAGAAGTTCTAGAAGATATCCATGACGTTTTCAAAGAGCCCAGCAAAATAGTCTACCTTCTTTGACCACACTGGCTCCCCAGTGCTCTAGAGAAATGGAGCAGCTTAGCTGGCCTGTCTGCCTCTGCAGGAATGCTCCATTGAGACAGAGGCACAGGGAGCTTAGGCACAAAGAAGTCGGTCTGCTAACTTGTCTTTGAAGAGTCTCATCTCCATGTCCCATAATAGGATGTAGACGGACTTTTCTTTGGGCCAACCAGCTCCCAAATCATTAATTATGAAGGCTCGGCCTTAGCTTAGGCTTGTCCCACTAGCTCTTTTAAATTAACCCATACTTTTATTAATCTACATCTACCATGTGACTTTTACCTCTATCCCACTCTGCCTTTCCCACTTGTTCTGCATCTCAAGAGCATCTCCTATGTGCCTCTATTCCTCCTCCTCTTCCTCTCTCTCCCCAGAAACCCCACCTATCCTCCCTGCCTAGCTATTGGTCATTTATTTAGCTCTTTGTTAAACCAATCAGAAGGCTCCTTAGGCAGAGACACATCTTTATAGTAAACAAATAATCCGAAACAGGTTTGTTCCTTCACAACCTATAGCCGTCCACATTTATAATCCTCATTCATAAATCACTTAGCCACAGGCATTGATGGAGCTGACTTTCCCAGAGACTAAGCAGAATTTCTCCATCATCGAGTCAACCTTCCTTTTCTGAGTGACCAATCCTGACTGTCTGCTTGTTGGTTTTTGCCTTTTAGATTTCAAGTCCAACTTCAGAGCTGCTCCAATCAGATCGGTGGACGTCTACAACATTATGTGCAACGTATCAGGCATCACCCCACTGCCCAACAATGGGTCCTGGTCCAGGGTGGTATGCATGCTGAAGGATCAGACCAGCTCGGCTCCATCTGCCCCACTGAACCACTGTGCCCTGGTCCTGATTCTTCTCTTATACTTTGCATAACTGGTCATATGGCTCATTCCAAAGCACTGTTGCAGTAAGGCCTGCCTCCAACATGGGACAGTTTTCATTTTCTTTACAAATAATAGCTTTATTAACACAATCAAGGCCACTGAAGTTGTAAACATATTATTCTTGGATGATTATATACATAAAGTCCCTTCTTTTAAAAAATCTTTTTAAACTCTGTTTTACCTAAAAGTTTGACATTTTGGTCTTTTCATTCACTTCACTACACAAGTTTTTTCCTTAGCACATCCTTACTGAGGATGAACAGTGTGAGCAGTGGTCTGTCCCAGTAACAGCCAGTCATCAAATGGATATCCTGGAGTCATCCTGGGTCCCTCTCATCCTGCCTTGCCCTGTCAATCAGGTCCTCTGTATCCTGTTCACATCCAAGGTCTCATACTTGGGATCTGCAGCCATAATTCTGCACTGTCTTTTCTATTCCGGAAAGAGGAGGTCTAGTCACAGGAAAGCAACACGTGCTGTCTGTTTCGGTCCTGGTGCATGGCGTTTTTAAGAACACGGTCTCAGAAAGCACATAGGCCAGTAGAGATCACCAACCAACCAATTAAAGTAGCAAAAACAACTAAACTCACAGAACTGGCGGAAGCCGTGATTTCCTCTCTCAAAGTCTGAAAAGACAAATTGCTTCTCAATTTCATTGAGTGCTACATTGTAGGGTCCGTGAGGCTTACTACACAATCTCTCAAGGTCTAAAGCCTTGTGAACCACAGGCCCTGAACATTGATGTGTACTGATCTTCTGCCTACCTGATTCATCTGCCTATGACCTATTACTTCCTCCAGACACTGCCACTCTTTCGCTCTTGAGTCAGGGTGCAAGGCAGGTAAATACCTGATATTGTCAGTATAGGCTTAGAAAGGAAGAGATGTCTCAGCAATAATAATACGAACATTAGAAATCTTAACTCATTGCTAGGAATGGTGATATATCAAATGCAAGTTTCATATTTCAGGAGTCCAGAAGAGGACTATAAAAAGAGTTGATTGTATTTTTAAACAATTAGAGGCACGCGCACACACACACCTCTATATATGATGGTTAGACTTAGGTTTTTTATACTTTTTTATAGTGAGGAAGCAAGACACATTCAATAGAATGCAATCTGAATTTTGAACTTGAACATTTTCTCAGCTTAGTATTATGCAACGTGACACTGTCTCACAAGGCTGGCCAGAAGCAGCAACCAGCCACAGCTCCCAACCAGCCACATGATCCTGGGTGTAGACACATAATATCCTAGAGCATCGTGTGCTGCTAAACCATGAGGTTTTGTAGGATGGTGCATTAAATTCATTTTGACTAAATAATATTTCCAGTTTATGATGGGTTTATTGGGATGTGACCCCATCATAAGTTGAGGAGCTTATGAATCTTGTTGCTTTGCATTCGAAATGAGTTGGCACTAAATGAGTCACTCACAGTGACACTGTGTTGGGAAAAGATAAAACATCAGCTCTCAGGAGGAGGAAGCTTTTGTTTGGTGCTTGCCTTGACAAAAACAGCTCTCCACAGCACCCGGGTTTGGTAAAGATGGACTTGCTACAGTGCCTTGAGTCAAGAGAGCAAAAGATCACTGCTTAAAAATGTCGAGTTTAGCCTCACAAAAGATTTCTAAGGATTTATGTAATGTGTTTTTTTAAAGCTCCAACAAACCATGGAATCAACTGGAAAGGAGGCAAATCAGCCTTTGTTGTGTGGTTGAAAGCAAATTAGTACTTTCAGAACACTGCTACGAGCTGTGGACACAGACATCCATTGTTCAAAGTTTTCTTTTCCCCTCAAGAATGGTGTTTTGTTGAATTCCAGGAAGCTGGCTTGACTTCCTCTTCAGAAGGATTTCTGAGAGACATTCAAGTGATGAAATTAAAAGTGAATCATTAAAATCAAGAGGGGATAATAAGATTGCACACACTATTGCATTTTTCTTTCTTGGTCTGTTCTGTTCTCTCCACTCACCCTTAAAAACCCTTTAAGTTGTATAACAGAAGTTCAGATCTCTGTCTGATAAAGTATAATTTCTCAATAAGTAATGTTGAATAAATGAATGAGATACCAAAGGAATCTTGAGTAGAGGTCAATAATAAAATTGAGGAAAAACATCTTTTGCCTAAAACTAACGCATACATTCTGATGACATAATTAGTTGGCTGAAATTGCCTTCCTTTTAGTTTTACTTTAAAGTCTAATTATTTTCCCCAGTTAAAAATCTCCCACCCACTATTAACCCTGCTTAGCCTCTGATGAGATACAGTATGTTCATGGTGCTATGGCTGCACACTTCATTTTCTCTAAATGTGATGTGTTCTATAAAGTAAGATGTGCTGGGAATATGCACACGCATCCTTCCTCCTGAAGTTTTCTGAGACTTTACTGCTAACCCCAGGAGGGGGATAACTGAGTGGACCTACCACAGAGAAATGAAAGGGATGTTCTTTAAATTAAAGATGAGACTAAGGGATACTTTCTCTGCCCATGTGCCTCATCTCCGGAATCCAATTTAATTAAGTTCTAAAGACCTAACCATAAACTACAATAGGTCCAGGGAATTCTTGCAAGCCTAGAAGAGTCTTAAATTATAAAGGCCCAATTCTCTTCACTTTTTGGAAATCCATATCAGATCTGAGTTCAGCCACAGATAGTACCTTGCAAACCCTTCCAGAGTAAAAGGGATAGGGCCTCAGATAACACTTGTAAGTCATAATAATGAAAGTTTGGGCTTGCTCCAAGGAGACGTGGGTTTTGACTCAATCCTGGGATATCTGAATCCCCGGAGAGCTATTTCATAATTAGCCAGTTTCCCCGGGGATCATCAGCTGACATTGGCCACTGACCAAGCCCATTTGGGTCAGACTTCTATCCCTCCAAAACCAAAGTGGGAGGCGGGGGTCTGAAAACTCTTGGGGAGGAAGAAACTTGTGGAGGAAAGAGCAATAGCAAAGTCAGCTTCTGCATGCCCTTCCTTGTGGTTCTAAGAATCCCAACGGTGCTATCAAACCAACTTGGACGTTGTTCAAGATGCACAGTTCTTTTGTGGAATTGTCTAACTGTTTCGAGTTTGTGTAAATGTCAAGAGATTTCCAAGTGTGATTTGTATTTTACCTTTTAAAGCAACTTGTGATGGACCAAAGTCAGCTACTATAAAATTTCAGCTACAGAAAAGGAGGGTATAATCAATGCCCACTGGTTATTAAACATTTAAAACTTGGTCTCAAGTTTACACTAAGGAGAATATGTGTTGCTTAGAAATCATAAAATAGCACCTAGTACAGTACCTTAGATGTTTATATTTTGATTGAAAAAAAGAATAAATGTCAACAGGGAAACTTAAACTTCTGATATTCTCTCTCTTTCTCTCTTGTCTGTGGTTGCCCCAGTTAAATGAATTTTCCACATTTGGCTTGTTGTCTCTCCTTGTTTCCCAGTTGACAGTGTCATTACACCATAGTTCATGGGCTAAATGTATTCTATCACAGGTTCATAATTTAGATGGGAGGGAGGAAGGAAGTGAGGGAGGGAGGGAGGAAAGAGGGGAGGGGAGGGAGGAAGGAGGGAAGGGAGGGAGGGAGGGAGGGAAGGGAGGAAGGAGGGAAGGGAGGGAGGGAGGGAGGGGAGGGAGGAAGGAAGGGAGGGAGGGAGGGAAAGAGGAAAGAGGGGAGGGAGGGAGGGAGGGAGGGAGGGAGGGAGGAGGGGAGGGAGGGAGGGAGGGAGGGTGGGGAGGGAGGGAGGGAGGGAGGGAAGAAAGGAGAGGAAGGGAGGGAAGGAGGAAAGGGAGAAAGGAAGGGAGGGAGGGAGGAAGGGAAGGAAGAAAGAAGGGAAGGAGGGAGGGAGGAAGGAGGAAGGGAGGAAGGAAGGGAGGAAGGGGAAGGGAGGCAGGAAGGGAGGAAAGGGGAAAGGGAGGGTGAGAAGGGAGAGAAGGAGGGATGTGGGTAGGGGACTCAATTTAAAATGCATTCAGCATATTAATTTTTCTTTTAAAATGTAATATTTTATTAATTCTTTGAGTGTCTCATACAGGTATACAATGTACTTTAATTCTAATCACCTACTCTGGCTCAACTCCTCCCAGATCCACCCCCACCTGCCCTCCTCTCCAAACTTCGTGCTCTCTTTTTTCATTTCCCTTTGTACCCGCCGAGTACAATTGTGCCGCCCACACACTCATGAGTGTGGACCATCCACTGGAGGATGGTTCACTTATCACTAGGGGTCACACCTTGGAAGAAAACTGACTCTCCCTCCCCTAGAAGCCAACTGCTCCTCAGCTAGGGGTGGGGACTTGTGAGCCCTCTCCTCTCCATGGAATCCTAACTTTTCAAAACATAGTATCTTTGAGTCTGAATTCACTTACTGTACCACTCGTCTGTTTGAAGTGCACAATGAATTAGCTTCACAGAACAACTCATTTTGTTACCACAGCTCCACACCCATTAGTGATTAGCATCCATTCCCTCCCCTCTTCCTGTGTTGGTTAAGGTTTCTATTGTTGTGATAAAACACCTTGAGCAAAAGCAACTTGAGGGGGAGAAAGTTTATTTAATTTTATACTTTCAACTAATAGTCCATCACTGGGGGAAGCAGAGGAGGAAGAGGATGCTGCTTACTGGCTTGCTCATCCTGCTTTCTTACACATCTCAGAACCACTTGCCCAGGGGTGACTACATCACAATGGGCTGGGCCCTCCCACATAACTCATTAATCATGAAAATGCCCAAGGAACTTGCCTATAGGCCAGTCTTACTGAGGCATTTTCTCAGTTGAAATCCCTCTTTCTAAAATGACTCTATCTTCAGTTGACACAAAGATACCAACATATTGTCAAACACTAAACCACTGTGTCAACAGCTTTGTTACTTTGGGATGTTTTATAAACAGACTATTGTGGATAGCTTCTTTCACTAAACATAATGTTTTAAAGATTATGGACTGAATCCATACTTCATCATTCATAAATTACATCCCATTGTGTGAATAGGTACTATTTTATTTATTTATGTATCCATTGACCAGTATGTTATTTTTCCTCCCTGTTTAGATACAAACAACACTCTTTTGAATATTCATATGCAAGTTTGGTGTTCATATATTTCATTACCTCATGAATATACCTAACGTTATGTGGCAACTTTATGTTAAACTTCTGAGGAACTGCCACATAGTTTTCTGAATTGACTTCTTTATTTCACATTCCCACCAATCATCTATGACTTTCTCTGCACCCTGGATGGCACTTGTAATTACCAGTCTTTTAAGATTATAGACATCTTAATGAGTGAGCCATCTCATTGTGCTTATATTTGTGCTTCCCAAATGATGCAACATCGTATTTTTTTATGTGCCCATTAGAAAAATGTCTACTCAAATCTTGTGCTCACTTTTTCCATTGAATTATCTTTTTCTGTATTGAGCAGCAAGCATAACTGATATATTCTGCATACTAATTTCATATCAGATATTCTATTCTCACATGCTTCCTTGATGGCATCCCTTGCAGCATACATGTTTTTAGTTTTTTGATGAAATTCAGCTTTAGTCAGCTGTGCTTTTTGTGTGTGTCATACCTAAGAAGGCTTTGCTCAGTCTAAGACCATGAAGATTTTCTCCTTAAATTCTTCTGTGAGTGTTTAGTTTTTTTTTTTTTTTTTTTTTTTTTTTTGGTTTTTCAAGACAGGGTTTCTCTGTGTAGCTTTGCGCCTTTCCTGGAACTCACTTGGTAGCCCAGGCTGGCCTCGAACTCACAGAGATCCGCCTGGCTCTGCCTCCTGAGTGCTGGGATTAAAGGCGTGCGCCACCACCGCCCGGCTGAGTGTTTAGTTTTAACTATGACATTCAGGTCTAAAATTTATCTTTAGTTCATTTATATATATATGATGGTGAGAAAGGAGCATAACCTCATTCTCTGTTTGGATACTCACTTCTCCATTTCTTTACTGCAAAGCAGATCTACTTTTTTAGAGAAATGTTACAATGATTCTTTCTATTGAACAAAAATATGTATTCTTTTTTAAAGACCTGAATAACTCCAGAAGTTTGGATTTTTTTCTATTTCTACATGTCCAACTACCCAGTACACAACCATTAAATAAATTCCCCATAAACTTGAGGAGAGATACCTTCTGTAGAAAGCGAGCATTGGATGATCTTGAAATCAGGCACATCCATTGGAAGAAAGTTGGGACAAACAAGTCAAAAGAGTTGACACCATCTTCTAGCTGTCTTAGGATGGGAGGCGCCATCTCAATCACAATCTAGAATGAGTCAAAAATCCATCTCTATCCAACTCTACCATTCAAATGTACCCAATACTTTGCAGAGTACACTTACAGTTTCATAAAAAAAAAAAATCAGTCAGCCCTACATGTCTCTTGTCTCTAACACTCCCAGAGGCTTTCTTCACCAATGTGCAATGGCTTCTTTTCCATTTCCCAAGAACCTTTAAGGCCCCAGCTCCCACACCTCTCTTCTGTCAAGAGGCTTTCTAACATGCAATTGAGACCAGACCATTGCCCTGCTCTTACTCCTCAATGGCTTCCCACTGTCTTAAGTCAACACTTTTAGTGTGGTTTATCTGTGTTTATCACTGCTGTATCAGTGAGAGGATGTGAAATTCACTTGCTTTTTATTGCACTTTCCACTCACTTTAATCTGCCCCTCCAACTCACCCCTACTCTACTTTATAAAGCCTCAGACTCTATTTGAATCTAATCTTCCACATCTTCATACAGCCCCACTCTATATTTCTTCACTTTTCCCCTTTAGTAACAAAAAGGGTTACACCTCACAACTATCTTTATTTCTATTTCCTCATATTCATTTACACAATAAATTTGTCAACAATACACTTTCTTTTTCTATCACAACAGATTATAGTTTCCTTGGGAACAGAAATCTCTCTCATTTTCTTTTTCTCTCAGTGTTTAGAATTTCAGGGTTCAAGGCACCCTAATCAAATCATTGCCATCTCCACACTGAAATAGACACAGGGATGGAATTCATTGAAATAGACACAGGGTTCAGCAGATTCAGGGAGAAAAACCATGTTTCTTCCAATAAGCCTGATAGATAATGGAGAATACAGCTTTTAATGCATTCCATTTAATCATACACAGTTGCCAACAAAGGCTCATAGAGGAGCAGGGCTGAGTATACACAGGTCTTGTGGAGATGAAGGGGAGTCTCAAATTCACCAATGGCATAAGTCATTTCTAAGCATGGGGGTGGTGCATGGGTGCCAAGAAGAGAAGTCAGATGATTTAGAACTGTATTACATTCCTATAAATGGAAAGTGGAACATCTTTAATCATAAAAATGTGGCCATAGTACATATTCCTACCTGGTACAAGGTCAAGAATTAGCTTCCGTCACTGTATGAGTTATTTTCTTCATCATTGTGACAAATTATCTTCCAGGAATAAATGAAGGCACTGTGGCATGGGAGGCATGCTCATGGGGGGGGAGGGGCTCTGTTCAGTGTTGGCTGTGTGGTAAGGCAGCTGGTCATCCAACAGTAAGCAGCAATCAGAGAACAGCACCAGCAGCCAGGCTTGGCTATATCCCTCAAAGGCCTGCCCCACAGTGACTCACTTCTGCCAACTAGGCAACATTCCCAAAGGTTTTGGGATGTCTTCAAAGAGCTCCACCTGCTGTGAGCCAAGTGTTTAAACCCATGACTCTGCGGGAGACTTCACATTTAAATCCTAATTGTCACAGTGATATATGTTATGGAAAGGTCATTGATAGCAAAGTCTGGACTAGGCTAGACTTACAGAGAGCTGATGGAGGTAGGAAATGCTAACCATTTATAGATGAATCATGGCTCATTCTGGAGGACAGCAACAGGGTAGTCATGCTTGCCCATCCTGGGCATCAGAGGCTCACAGAGGCAAGGGTTTCAGTCAGACCTATGGGATAGCTGGAGGTCTGGGTTTGAATGATGAAACTGGATGTTTCACTGCAGTGCTCACCATGTATTCCCCCTTCTCATACACCAATAACTCAGGGTAAATGGAATAAAACACCTCCCAGGAGACGGCCAAACTCTTCACACATGTCTTGACTCTCTTGCATAGGATTTTGGTGAAGTGTGCATGATGGCCACTTGCATTAAATTACCCTTCCATGAGTCCTGAACATAAATGCCATGGGTTTCCTGAATTCACTTTCAAGTCTTGGAATTAATTTTTTTAAATGGCATGCACATGAATGTAAATATATTAATACAAAATAACATGGATTCACTTTTGATGGCTTGGGGAGTAAATATAGCCATTTTCATGAATGCCTTATGCTTACCATGTCATGTCAGTAATTATTAAAGGGTGTGGAACAGCCCATTTGCAGCATAAGTAGAAACCATCAGCCTTCGGTATACTGGGCAACAGCCAGAGATGGTGACTACT